GTTGGAGGCCATCGCTAGTAGAGTGGAGGCCATCGCTATTAGGTTGGGGGCAATGGCTATTAGGTTGGAGGCCATCGCTAGTGGGTTGGAGGCCATGCCTATTGGGTTGGAGGCCATCGCTAGTGGGCTGCAGACCATCGCTAGTAGAGTGGAGGCCATCGCTATTAGGTTGGAGGTCATAGCTATTAGATTGGAAGCCATTGCTAGTGGGTTGGAGGCCATGGCTATTGGGTTGGAGGCCATCGCTAGTGGGTTGCAGGCCATCGCTAGTAGAGTGGAGGCCCTCGCTATTAGGTTGGATGTCATAGCTATTAGGTTGGAGTCCATCGCTATTAGGGTGAAGGCCATTGCTATTAGGTAGGAAGGTTCGCTCTCTTCACATGAAAATGGAACCAGGCCCGAGAGGTCGTCATATCATGCAAACTGATGAGGTTCGTCAAGGCCTTGGTACGACAGAGTCTCAAGCAACCATACCAGCATTGAATACTGGCAAAACCATCATGTTGATATGACATGGCCAACTGCGAGATTCTTGTTCAGGTGATCAGATTTGCTAGCAAAACAATTATGCAAAGCAAACAACATGGAGGAACAGGAGAAGGGGTCAGAAAAGGAACCAGGATTCTAAGGGAGCTGAGCTTCTTGCATGTTGAATAGGCCGTATTCTCTCCTTAACTCAGTCTCAGAAGTTTACCAATGCATCCCCTTCTTTCTGTCTCTCCCTCTCTTTTTTCTTGGTGTTTCTTCTTTAGACCTTTCTTCCTGTTTGATTCTTGAGTTGTTTCTTTTCTCTCTTTAGACCTTTTCCTTTTTTGATCTTTTTTGCCTCTCTGTGCAGGCCCATGCATGCCAGACTGAGCGCCAGCTCTGTGTGGTCCAGCTCAGTGTGTTTGTATTTCACACACTGACACGGCGCACCGCAGACAATCACTCCATCTGCTGAAATTTCCGTGCAAGGATTAAAGATGTCCAACGTTAACGAGTCGAATATCACATCCATCAGACACATGATGCCGCACTTTGTGGGAAAGTGATGTGCAAACGCACTGGTCAAAATAGGACATTTTCAAGTGCTGCAAATTCAGGTGCTGTCATGGTGGCGCTTTGCCACAAGTGCCGGCAACTGGTTGTGGTTCATGTGTGTGTGCATGTGTCAAACTCTTGCAGCAGTTCTACTGCATCTTTCTCAAACGACAATGTTGATAATCTAATAAGCGAGAGATAGCGCTGCTTGGACGTTTGGACATGCCCACAAACAATCACAAACCCTCAAGAAAAATGGCCTTTAAGAGACTCAGCCACCTTGTCTCCTGGATAAGGGACTGGGACGACTGGGGCTCGACAGTCCTCGACAGTCGGCCATGAGCAAGCTTGCGGGCATAGCGGGCAAATTATATAGTTGGGCTTGCTTGAACTGAAAAAGAATACATGTGTTGATCATTGATCCCCAAAGAAAGGTGCTTCACCCACAGGCGAAGCCAGGTATATCACATGTACGATCGCATACCCAGCAAGTAGAATGTTGTCAGCTGCCTGGCTGAATGTTGTCCTGTAGTACCATGACACACCCGACCCCAAGAGGGTTTTGCCAGGATGACTCTAAGAAAACAAGCGGGTTTCAACATGTTCAACCAGCAGCTTGACAATAAATACCACACATTGGCAGCGAAAGGCAATCGAGCAAACATCGACTGCAAACATGACCGGTGGGGCACTTGCATGGTGCCGCATGGTGTCCCCACTATCCGATCATATCTGCCCTGGGAAATCTAGTCAACGGTTTGTCGACCTCTGAATTAAAGTACAGCTCACCTCAGGCAGGCACGAGGCAGTCAGCCATACGATAATAATTGTAGATAACAGGCAAAAAACAACTAGATGCTTCTTTACTTGCCACTTATCTTGATCATGTTGCTTTTCTCTTAAAGTAACTTGTTGTGAAATCGTCCCTGCCTCCGTTTCACGACTGAAATCCAACGAAAAGCTTTTTGGAAATCTCGAACCTTGACAGAAGGCCCGTTTTTGGAAATCTCTCTTCTCTGGTAATTTGAGTTCTGATGTCAAATCCAAGGCCATCACAGGTGCAGATCCAATCTTGCCAATCTCCTCATCTTGCTGAACCTCATTTGTTGCATCTCGCATCAGGTAGAATTCGAACAAAGAATCTGGGCCCTCAACGGTCAAACACAATGTATCAAGAAGCCTTGGTCAACGAATGACAACGAAAAGCCATTGGAGAATTCATGAAACTGCCTGCGAAGGAGCCAAATATTAGATGGCTTCTCCGCTCAAAGTCTCAGTTGCCTATTCTTCTTCTGGTCCACGCTCATGTGATGTTCTTCCGACACAAAGTCAAAACGTGTAGGGTGGAGGCCATCGCTGCTAGGGTGGAGGCCATCGCTATTAGGGTGGAGGATGGTGGAGGTCATAAGTTCCTTCGGAGTCGACTAGTGATGCATGTCACCGAGTGACGAGTCTCCGTGCGGCAGCAGCACGTTCGCACAAAAGAGGCCTATGGCCAAATCTCCATGGCCTTAATCAGTTTCGGAAGGAGAGAGCTTGAAATTTCTCTGCTGCCACGGCCCCTGTGCTCAGCAAGCTGCTGAGCTTTTGCACAACAGTTTCACTCATAAGAATCGCCTCGATTGCCACAGCTGGCTGAAGGATGAATTACTGGCAGTCTTTTGCACAAACATCTAAAGCATGGACCATGACCCAACCGGCTCCTGATTTACTGGGGACCCTGGGGTGTCTGGACAAGTTGCGTGCGCCGACTGGAGAATAGATTGCATCATCATCTGAAGCTGCATGGTGTTCTGGCCACCTTCTGCTTCTGCTTCTGCTTCTCTCTCTCTCTCTCTCTCTTTCTTCTCTCTCCCTATCTCCGGAAAACGTTGATACTCTGTCAGTCTTTCTGTCTCAGTCTGTTGCGTCTTGAGATCTTTGATGATCTTTGATGTGATGTTGTGCCTGTGAGCCCGTTGAAGCGCACTGAGAACATGAGAAGCCACTGTTCCAGGCAAGGGCAATCAACCTGCGAACGGAATTAACGGAATTTTACTCAAAATCAATCAATGTCAAGTTGTTCATCTTCTTCAAAAATTGAAACAAGGCAAATAGCGATGGCCTCCAACCCAATAGCGATGGCCTCTACTCGCGATGGCCTCCAACCTAGCGATGGCCTCCAACCTACTCGCAATGGCTACTCGCAAAGGCGTCCAACCTAATAGCGAGAGCCTCCAACCCCAACAGCGATGGCCTCCAACCTGCTCGCAATGGCCTCCAACCTACTAGCGATGGCCTCCAACCTAATAGCTCAAGATTAATCAAACTTTTGGATATTTTTTGGATACTTGTTCCCCTGCGCTCGCGGAAACATATATGGTAGCTATAAACATAATGTTTGAACAAGACTGGTTTTCTAGCATCCAACAAATCCAAAGTATCACGCGTTTCGATACGTTGTGCATTTTGACGACCGGCCTCCCAATCCAAAGCCTTCAGAACCTCAAGTTCATGCTCCTTCAATGTCGAGCTGGTGATCTCCTTCAGGTGCGAAAACAAATGCTGCCCAAGTGATGAATCAAACATCATCAAACCCAGCCTCTGGGATGCTTCTATAGATTCTGCGTATTTGTTGTTCTGTTTGTTCCATGGATTTCCTCACCCTGAGCTTTTCGGAATCTGCTTGATGTTCCCCGTGTTCTCTGCGTCGTGCCCGGAAGCAGATTCCTGCCAACCCCTAAGGCCCCGAAACCCTCAAGGCCTCGGTCGTGCAATCGAAGGTCATGCCCACCCAAGTGGCAAAGTCCTCCCAACGGGCGGATCACAACAGTTTGGAGGTCAGTGTTCTTAAAGTTCAGCACCATGTTTAAGGCACCATGTTAAGCAGTGAATCACGGTGAACCTTTGTGCGAAGACCACCCCACCTTTGCCGCCATCAATCGTCCTGCTGACCTCCTCAGTGAAGTCCGTGGCAGAACCGGTCGAGGCTGTCCGCTGTGCCACGCCGAACATGCCAACTGTGCCGCACTCGAGCAGGTTTTGCTACCCAGCGTCTCGGTCTCTTGGTCATACCGTCCTCCGACATCCAACTGCACCACGATTCTGGAGAGCACATGCTGAGTGATGCAATATGTCACAAACATGATAGGCACATAAATTGATATAAATATAAATTGCGCCTTGGAAAACCCCTGGACTACATGATTAGTTTGACTCAATACCAATACCAATCCCGTGCTTTCTCCATTCCAGGAACATCCTACCCTCCCGAGACTCGTCTGAATTGAAACGGTTTTTGGGTTTATAGTGTGGGGGAGTGGGGGTGGTCACCCCCGTTTACTGGTCGTGACTCATTAGGCTCACATGACCACAAAGAGATGCTAGTCACGAATGCAGTGCCTCGACAAGCTGGGGCCCTGGACTTACAATCCCGAAAGGACAGTCGGGCGACAAAACACACAACATGACCGTGGACGTTCCTTGAACAGGGTCGACTTTGTCCACCCATTCAACTTGGGCCAACTTGGGGTTTCCCAGGCCGAAAGGGTCCCGCCGGAATCAACAAAGGCACTGCCCCAGCCTTGCAATTGCAGCGCAGGTCAACGGAAGCTTCGGAAGACTCGCGCAACATGAGCTGTAGCGATCGAGCAGTAGAACCGCCTAGCACAAGTAATACCCCATTAGCCCAACAACTCTTTCCGCCAAAGAAGCCTTTGTCAACCCTCCCTGAATCACCAAAGGGCAACGAAGCGCGCCTTAAACCAAAGTGATTCCGAATTTGTCATTCCCTGGCGTCAGCAGGGTCAACAAGACCATGATTGTGTCAGTATTGAAGTCGGAAAGCGTTTCTTCATCAGCGTCGCCAAGAAGCCTCAGCTTTCAAGGCGATTAAAAAGCAAGAGGAGATAGACATCAATGTGAACTAAAGCCGAGTAGTCGGCTCACTGCGTCCCCCTTCGATGTTGAGCTCGTGGCGACGGAAGTGCCATGCTTCAGAACAGAACCTCGCTGACTCAACCTCAGTGGACTCGATGGCCTCCACCCAGCGATGGCCTGCACCCTACTAGCGATGGCCTCCACCCTACTAGCG